TGACCCTTGAACAACGTGGGAGTTAGGGGCACCGACATCCCACGCAGTCAGAAATCCACATGCATGTAACTTTTGACTCCCCAGAAACCTAGTTGTCCCTGGGTATCCGTGAGGGATTGGTTCCAGAACACCCTGAAAATACTAAAATCCATGGATGCTCAAAAATAAAAAAAATAAAATAAAATCCATGGATGCTAAAGTCCCATATATAAAATGGTGTAGATCAATGCATAGTCAGCCCTCTGCTTCCATGGACTCCCAGCCACAGATTGAAACATTACAGGTATTTATTGGAAAAAAAAATTATGTACAAATGAACCTGCATAGTTCAAACCCATGCTGTTTAAGGATCATCTGTACATATTTCTTGCTTTTTAATTTAAAGTAAAATCCTGGACACCATATAGTTCAGAATGTATTCATAGATATACCCCATTATCTTAATGGCTGTATAGTATTCCACTAAATGGATATTCCACGATTTATTTATCCATTCTCCTACTGCTGGACATTTGGATTGTATTCAATTTCTTTTTTTGTGATTTTGAGATATAATTCACATACCATAAAATTTACCCATTTAAAGTTTAAAATCATGGTTTGTAGTATATTCAGTCCTGTACAATCATCACAGTCAGTTTTAGAACATTTTCATCAACTTCTAAAGAAATCTCACACACTTCAGCTATCACCCCCTAGCCCTAAGCAATCACTAATCCATTTTCTGTCTCTATATTTGCCAATTCTGGACATTTCATATAAATGGAATCATATACCATAGTCTTTTTGTTACTGTTAATTCATTTAGCATGTTTTCAGGGTTTTTCCATGTTGTAATACTTTTCAGAAGTGTTCCCTCCTCTTACTTTTTGGAAGAGTTTGTGAAGAATCTGTATTAATTATTCTTTAACGTTTACTAGAATTCATCTGAGAAGACTTTTAAGCCTAGCCTTTTCTTTGTGGGTACTAAAAAAAATTACTAATTAACGTTTTTACTTGTTACAGGTCTTTTCAGAATTTTTTCATTGGCTTCAGTATTTTGTGTATTATATTTATTGGCATACAATTATTCATAGTGTTACTTCATAATTTTTATTTCTATAAGGTTAGTAGTAATGTTCCTCCTTCACTTCTGATTCTAGTAATTTGGATTTTTTTTCCTGGCCAGTCTCTGAAAAGGTATGTAATTTTTGTTGAGCTTTTTATAAAATCAATTTTGGTTTCATTGACTTTACTGTTATTCTAGTCTCCATATCATTTATTTAATTAAACATTTTTCTTCCTTCTGCTTGCTCTAGGTTTAGTTTGCTCGTCTTTTTCCAGTGTCTTAAGGTATAAATAAGGTTAGTGATATGTGATCTTTTAAAAATATAGGCATTTGTACTTACAGTTTTTTAAGTATTGCTTTAAGTGCATCCCATAAGTCTTGGTATGTTGTGTCTTCATTTTAATACACCTCAAAAGATTTCCTAATTTCCCTTGTGATTTCTTCTTTAACCCACTGATCACTTAGAAGTGTGTTTAATTCATATTTGTGAGTTTTCTAATTCTGTTATTGATTTCTAGTTTCAGTCTATGTGGTCAGAAAACATACTTTGCATGACTTCAGTCCACTTAAATTTGAGGTCTGTTTTATGGTCTATCCTGAGGATGTTTCATGTGCACTAGACAAGAATGTGTATTTTGCTCTTGTTGGGTGAAGTGTTCTATAGATCTCCTTAAGATCTACATGATTTTATGTGGTATTTAATGAACAAAATAAACCAATGGACAAAACAGATCCAGAGACATAGAAGCAGGGAACAGATTGATGAATCTCAGAGGGAAGGCAGGGGTGGGTGGGTGGATAGAGATTAACCTAAGAACTTATATGCATATATGCATAACCCACGGAA